AATATTCTGAAATAAAATGAAATATTAATGTATGTTATTTTGTAATACCAATTTATAACATGTTTTTAAAAAATGTCAGTTTTTATTAATTGTGTATTGTCGTATGATAAAAACAAATTATCTTAATTTATAATGTTATATTTATTTTCCCGTACTTACAATCCCAAGTTGAGCGATTAGTGTGAATATCAAAACATTAATCATATGGTTCAAATCTCGGTATTGACTTCTAAATATATGAATCATCGTTATCCAGTGCTTAATGTATTCTACCTTGCAAGAAGGAAAAAAATTAATGTTTGTACAAAAACAAAAAGAAATTATCATACCTTATGTAAAAATCTATTAACGCCACAAAATGCAACAATGTTAGTAAATTGTTAAAAATGAAAATACAAGATGTACTATTCTCTTTTAAAATTCTGTTTCCCATATTTCTCGTAAATTTTTAATAATTAATTTATAAATAACTAAATTCTAACACATTCTAATATATCTGTTTCTGATTATTTTTCTCAACTTTTAATTTTTAAAAATATGACGAGATATTGAATATGTGCCCTGTTTTGAATAGGAACACCATTAGAGATTCAAGGCAAGCAACATAAATTTTAGGCGATTTTTTAAATGAATAATCGACATAACGTGAATGGTTGAAACACTGATGATGTATAGTGCTAACGCACTTAACGGTCAATAATGTTTGAAGGCCTAAGATTTTACGAAATTTACTTCCTCATTAGCATGTCTCTATGTCAAAAGGTACGTTATATCTTTGCATACAAGGTGAACATTGAAGTTTCACAACTTTCCATGTTTCGTATTGTTTAACGTGCATTCAAGTTAATATTTCTATAAAAAAGAATGCATAAAAAATACGTAAAAATACATGGAGTGGTTATTACAAAGTAATATTCAAATACATAAAAAATTTATTTTCTCTATTGTTATAATAACACTTTTATTACAAATACGTATTTTATTACATAAAGATATATACAAATATAACATGCGAACACGGCGCAATCTAAAAACCTAACCTATTCGATTAAATTCTAAGTTTAAAAGCAAATATTTGTATTGCGTTTACGCCCTCGTTTGCAATATTCTCCCGCGTGCACTTTGTATTGTGAGCATGCGCATTCACAAATTTACTGAGCAGACGCTCGCGCATAGCTGACATGCCAATAACCCAAATTGTTTCAGAAAAATTATCAATGATATAATTACCCTTTTCGTATGAAATCCCCTGCCAATATTATTTCTTAGCACACTTGACGTATGGTTATAGGTCCTCGTGTGTTCGAAGATAGCGAAAGCGATCGTTCATAGATACATTTTATAGGTTGTTTAGTTGACTTGGCAGCGACTGCTCGCCGGCCGGCCAAATATGCACAGTTAATCGATAAAACCTAACGAACGCTAAAAATCATAATTCCACAACAGGTGAAATAATTTGTGGTTTATATTGCGTGCAAAATATACATCGACCTTTTATACCTGTTTACTTCTGTCACAGAATCGTAGATTTTTCAGCAAATCGCAGGCAATTTAAGGCTCACGGCACACAGTAAAACGTCAAAAGCACATACAACGAGAAAAGACAGGTCGAAGACCCTATGATACTGATTGCTTTCCAAAGCCATCGAAAGATGGCAGTCCATACGATTTACAAATTATTGAGTATCTGTCCATTTATTATATCTTTCTACATAATTAGAATGCTCTTTAAACTTTATATTCTATGTTACGTCCCATTTTATATTTTACTTATAAGAGAGAAAATATTTTTTTATTTAAACTAAAAATTTTATTACTTTATTCTTTTATAAATAAAATTATTTGTTCGTGTGCATTCCTATCTGGTTTGTATAACATAGGTTATTTAATAAAAGTAAACAATATATTTGACCTATTGTACTTTGGTATTGTACATTATACTTGCACTTGACCTCTCATCGTATTCTATACTCACGTAGGCTTCATTATTGATTCATATAGACGATATTGTTTGATAGCATTGGAGGAAATGCATGCTTACACCTAATCTAAAATATTTGTTCGACATTTTCATGCAAAACGAACAGAACCTCAAACAGAGAAGATTATTTTATCCTTAAAGGCAATAAACACTAATTCTAGTACAGGTATTAAATATTAAGAATAATAATTATATTGAACTTTATTTTTTAATTTATATTTATATTACTTGTGGTTAACTCGACAACTCTATATATAAAGCAAAAATGCATTTGATATTAGATACGCGATTCTAATATGAGTCATGCGATTCTGTTTATTACAATAATGTACTTTTAAGTTGTTTGGTATTATTTTTAGACTGTTTGATAATATGTAAAATATATCTTTTTGCAAATATCTATCATAGTTGATAAATAAAATTATATTTAGTATTTATGTTTTATTCATTTTCATATACAATATCTACATGCGTGTTTTCTCTAAACACTATTTTATTAGTTAAAAAGGTATAGGATTGCATCTATCATCAAGATGCAATCAATTCTTTCGAATTATTAGTGCAGAAAAAGAGAAAAATTACTAGGCGTTAGCAAATCATGGTTTTTTTATTTCTAAAACATGATCAATATAACTACGAAATCAATTAAAGGACGATTATTATTTTAAATCGTATTAAAACGCTGAAATATGTGCTTTTTCTTTCTTTTCTGTAGGTTATCGCACTTTGCTATCCCCATGTCATAAATGCAATTCGTATTGTAATGCCTTAACGTAGAATTCTACCGACTCTCTACTCGATACGATTGGCATTGACTGGTGACAAACGCGTAATCGCCTCATATTAACAGTGCAATATTCTGAATGGGACCACAGTCCAGTTGTGCGACAACATAGAATACTGTAACAAGTACTATAAAAAGAATCAACACTATGCTTCCATTTATAAATTTATATATAATATAAATAAACAAATAATTTATATACAATATGTATATGTATAGATGTACGTGTATATATGAGTTCAAGAGAAAATTTAAAATATAATTGGTATGCCATAGAACATTGAACTATTAGAGTGGTAGCTAACTAATTAATACCACTACTACCAAATAAACAATTAGTACAATGATAATTTATCTACAAAGTTTAATTACGTCATAAACGGAAATGGAAATGCAGATATCGAGAGAGTGCATAACACTTTTGAATTCTAAATTGATGAAAAAGACTAAATAAATTGAAAATGTTCTTCAGCATTTTTTTTTGTATTGAAATTAGATCAAATTTTCAAATGTAAGTAGTAGAACATCCTTATTGATATAAATTATTATTATAGTAAAAGTATTAAATAAATCAGTATTACAACATTGATTATTTAATTACTAATCTTTAAATACAAATAATTTCTAGGTATCTCTATTTTTATTTTTTTCAGACCTTATCATATTTCTATTTTTAAATCTACATCGTTGTAACAGTATAATTACAGTGTGTCACTTAATATGTTATACAGATCGTATTCAAATAATAGGACAGGAATGGATACGAGTATATTAACTACCGGAATTATAATTATACGATTATTTTTGAACGAAATCAAAATTTTTAGAATAGAATACGACCATCTATTAGACTTGCAATGTTTAAAAATTTGTCTAGGAAAATAATAAAGTATGCAATATAAACATATAAATTTAAATATAAAAAGTTATCTTTATGAGATATATCATCATGGTAAAAATGTGACATTTAGATTTAGACACATAAAACAATACTTACTTAAATTTTGGATCCGATGAAATTTCAATTGTTCCACAGTCATTGATTATATGCAATATAGGTATCACTCATTCTGAACGTAAAACTGTATCATTTTGAACAATATAAATATAAAAGATTCCATATATATTATTACTACATAATCACATCGTTCAAAATGATGACAAACAAAAGCACAAACACTGTTTGACGATATCTGCAGGTACATACTATCGATCAAGAAAAATATTTGCATGTACAGTTGTTATGGTCGAACTTACGATCGAATGTTTGCAAACTATAAAAGTTCGATTTTCCATAAAGTTTCGGAAAATGTCGAGGCTAGAAAACCTCTTTTATTCCACGGAGCGGTGTTCTCCATGTCCCGCAAGAGAGTTTCATCTGCTCAAACCGATTCACTGCGATTCGTAGTCGTTTGAACATTCGCACGAGCTTAACTGACAATGAAATGTAGCTTTGTAATTTTCAGATCGTGTGCACCTACCTATAGTGAGCGCGAAACAGATACCATCAAGGACGTGTTAACCATAGATTACTTGTAATTTCGTGTAATTCACGTTAATCTTCATTGAACGAAAGTAGTGCATTTCGAATGTATATTTTGTATTTTGCATGTGATATGACTGATATTTTGAATAAATGATTTTCTTCTTTACAAATAACGATTAATCAATAATTTGAAGTTTGTTTATATTTGTATACTTCCGGTCTCAAGAAACGATGTAAGATTATATTTATAAACAGGTAAACAATGTATTGATCGTTCAGTATGGTGTAATAAGATCTAAACTGTTGCAGAATTTTCTACTTGACTGTTTTTAACCCTAAGTTGTTAGTAAAATATTAGATTACTATCTTATTATTCTATTGGACAAATTTATTCTTTAATTTCAATTGACATGAGTTTCAGCCACGAGTAATGCTCAACGAGGTCAACTATATTAATGAATAATTTTCAAGAAAATATAATGCTTTCATTATTTTAGTACTAATTATCAATAAATTATAGAATTAATTTAACAGCGTATTATGAATGAATATAACATATTCGTAACATGTTAGAATTCATTTTTTTACCGAATGAAGTGTACAACATTTGAATTAAGGGTTGCGGAAATAGCGATTTCTGTCGAAGATCAACGAAACGGTTTCGGACTAACTATCGATTCTTCCCGAAGATTTCCGGAAATAACCGAGGTCGTGAAAGTGACGTATGTACGTCAGTAGTGTGGGCCGACCCGCGTATCGTCGGTATAATTAAGAAGTTTTGCTTGATTCTGCTTCTCGCGAAAGGATCACTAACATCGCGATATGCGACCATGAATTTCTTTTAGTAAAACTGTAAACGGGGACTCATAAGCAAGGGAAGTGGCTCATTGTTGCATGTTTGTATTACTGGCGTGAGAAAAATCCTACTTTTATACGTGTGCGTTAGGGTAGGCGATCAATCTTCAACTTCACGAACCCACATTTATTCAGTTAATTGGGTTTATTCGTGATTGAATCTACGCTAAATTAATAGCGTTTCGACAATTCTTCTTTCGTGAGGTACCTATTGAGTTACTATCACTAAGCTAAATCATGGTAACCTAACCTTGAAATCACAAATTTCTTTCCTTGATTTTTCGATGAGTTTCGGTGAAAAACACAATTTTCTTTTGTTACAGATTCGATTCGGTGGCCACCTACGGGTGAACAGAGATGGCCACCCCTCAAACTCCGAGTAAGTAAATTTTTTCTTCGTTTGTAAGTCTAAGCATGTTCTAGTTTAATTGTCATGTTGACAGTAACTGTCTATACAAGAAAACAGAAATTATTTACAGTGTCTGATTTGATAAATATTATTGATTGAATAATAAGCTAATCTATAAATACTATCACTTTTATTCATTAGAAATTATTTATGTAAATATTATAGAATATAAAATAAAAAATGCCATTTTTTTTAGGTACGAACCCTTATGTAATCCAACCTAGAGAACATGCAAGATATAAAGAGCAATTTGATTCCTTAAATCCAATTAATGGTGTTGTTACTGGCGAACAAGCAAAAGAATTTTTACTAAAATCTAAGCTTTCACCTGTTATCCTTGCAGAAATATGGTATTAATATTATATTTTTACATTATTTAACTGTTTAATGTCTTCAAAAACTATCATACATGTAATGTAAAAATATAATTATACAGGGCTTTATCAGATACAGATGCAGATGGAAAAATGGATATAAATGAATTTAGTATTGCCTGTAAATTAATTAATTTAAAGTTACGTGGTTTTGTACTTCCTACAACTTTGCCTCCAACTTTAGTGCAGAGTTTAAAATCACTTTCTACCAGTAAGTATGAAATATCAAGATTATTTGAATCAATAATTATGACCTATGTTATTTGATAATGTTTAGGTGATACTAATGTTACAAGTTTAACAAATGGAGCTGCTAATATTCCATCACAGAATAATGTTGCATCATTAGTAAATTTATCTGGTCTACCACAAGTTCCAGTACAACCTTTAATTAGTGGGATGCCCATGACTGGATCTGTTCCACGCCCTCTTATAGGCCCTCCACCTGCAAATGGACCATTACCAGGACATACTATTAGACCTGCTTCACCAATGACCTTACCAGGTAATTATATTAAAAATTTTATGCTCAGATATCTGAAGCATATACAAATAAATGCATATGATGAAAGAAATATAAATTTTCATAGAATTCATCAAAACACTTACACTACTGTTGATTCTATTTCACAACAAATACAATCATATCTTAGTTGAGTTTGCAGCTGGTACATACCATGACAAAATATTTCATTATCAAAACAAAATTGAAGTCTACTTCAGCTATTGTCATTATTCATTATGATTATTATAGCCAGAAAAAAAACATCTTAATTAACAAGCAGCCTTATTTAGCATTATTTTACTTATGCATCATACTACACAGCATCACGACAAAGTAGACAGAATGTGGCTGCCACTACACATGCCACAACTCACACAGCGTCAAAGCCACCTGCTCGACCTGCACCACCCTCTGTGGGTATGTTATAAGAAGTAGATGTATATGTATGGATGATTATGTCTGAATTTTCTTCTATTTCATATGTTTCTGTTAAGCTTATAAAAATATTATAATTCTTTAAGGCATATGGTTTCTTTTACTGAATGATATAATTAGCAATATAATATTATGATGTGCTCTGCTACATGCATCGATATTTTGAATGCAAAGACTCATTTTTGCATGAAGAATATATTATTATATTCTAAATAATTGTTTATATTGTACTATATTTTACTTATCACTATAATATAAATTAGTGAAATTCTACAAAACATTAGCATTAAAATATGATATAATAAAACCTGTAATATAAGAAATATATATTACTAAATACAAGCATATATAATACATACATAATATCATCGAAGTGATATTACATTGTTTTTTTACATACTTACATACCATTAAAGGATAACATAAATATGTATCATTAAAGAACATACTTTTATGCTTTGTGTCTATATCTATGTTGTTATCTAATGATAAAAATTTATTGCATATGTTATACGTAATACTATATGTATAATCAATGTTGCAATGGCTTTGTTTACTGACTACACATATACATATTTTACTCTATTTTTTCTTCTATATATATCTGTGCACACTTATGGAACTTTTTATACAATAATATAATATTTGTGCTGCAAAAAAAAGGAATCGTGCCTTCTACAAGTACTACTACTACCATTACCACTACCCCTAGTGGTGGTCCTCCTCAAAGACCTGCACCACCCACAAATATTGGTATGTTTGAAAGTGCAAAAGAACTTTGAGAAATAGATAACTATTTTTTTAAAATACAATAAATAAAATTGCATGTAAATTTAGGTAGTTCTCCACATTTTTAGAATTAAAATTTAATATAAAGAAATGATTCCTTTTTGTATCATACATTTTTGTAACAGACAGCTTACTTTGATGGAAGATCATCTAAATGTATTAAATACATGCATTTGTATATTTATAAATTAATTTTGTCTTTATTGCTAAGCTTTCCAGTTGATGCAGCTTTAATTTTATTTATATTATTTTATTTTGGCTTTACTATTATCATATTTCTATTTTATATATTTCTATTAAGATAATTTTCGAATAGGATTTTTTCTTTATAAGTAAAATTATCTATTTTTAGGAGCAAATTTTTCACCTGCTACTAGTGGTCCACCACCAAAGCCAGCACCACCTTCATTTCCTAATAGTCCTGTTGCTGCTGGAATTTCACCAGTGAAAGTTCCACCTGTTTCTGCCACAGTTCCCGTACCACCCGTTCAACCAATGACTACATCTGCTATGGGTAAAATTATATGTTCACTTTTTCATGAACCTGTTATTTATTATTTCTTTAATATTTATTTAAATTTTAACTTTTTATTATAGATATAATTCAATCACAGAATCTTTTGATTTATGGATGATGTTTTATTCTTTTTTTACAGATTTACTTGAACTTGAATTTTCAGGTATATTTTATTAAATGAATTTTGTAGAAAATATAGTTTTGTTATCTTTTTTTAATTTAACTAATAAATTATGAAACTTAAATATTTTTTTATGGTATTTTTAAATTTTAATTTTCCTATACCTTAAGTTAAGATTCTAATATAAGGGGTATTTTTGAAGTTGCACTATTTTATATTATTAATAAATGAGTTATGATTATTAATAATTTAACATTATTAACTAAGTTATATTCTGTTGATTAACAGCATTTTTAATATTATTCATTTTTAATAAAAATATGTTTAAACAGGAATACCTACAGTAGCACCAATTGCACCCTTAAATACAAATCCAACACCAATTGCTGCTTTTGGTATGGGACAAACAATGTCTATGCAACCATTATGTACTGGTATGGTTGCTCCGATGTCAGCTAGTTCCACTATAGTACCATCTGTTGCATCAATGCCTACAGGTAATTAAAATATTCTGGTTTATTATCTGACTATGTAATTTGTTATCTTTTATATGTTTCTTTTTTAGGAACTGGAGTAGTATCAACTCCTCCAGTTGTAGGTTTGCCTTTAATGTCAACAACCACAACAAATGGCACACTAGTAAATGGTGTAATTGCTCAAACACCGGTATCTACAAGTACACCATTAAGTACAACTGCACGTCCACCAAGTATAGATAGGGTGGGCTCAGTTGATTCACAACATAGTCAGCATTCAGTGGGTTCTCCACAATCTGTAGAATGGGCTGTACCTCATCAAACAAAATTAAAATATACCCAATTATTCAATACCTGGGACAGAACACGATCTGGATTTCTATCTGGCCCTCAGGCTAGGAACATTATGGTGCAATCACAATTACCTCAAAAAGTGTTGGCACAGATATGGTATATTAATATAGCAATAAATATTAATTCCTTCTTAATATTTCTACAGAATATAATTTATAAATTATAAATGTTTTTTAGGGCATTATCAGACATGAATTCGGATGGTCGTTTGAGTTGTGACGAATTTGTATTAGCTATGCATTTATGTGACATAGTTAAGAATGGCGAAAAAATACCCACTACATTACCTATTGAACTTATTCCACCAGCATTTAGACGTCAACGACAAAGTAGTTTAACACTTTCACAGCCTGGAACAGAAAATGTAGATCCATCAGCCGGTATGCCACAGGTAAGTTCATTCTTTTTTGTATATTAATATTAGAAAATTTATATAATTGCAATAATATATCTTATAACTGTTTTTTCTGAAGACCTCTTTTGAAGACAAGCGTAAAGAAAACTTCGAAAAAGGACAAGCGGAGCTTGAACGTAGACGTAAAGCTTTGTTAGAAATTCAACGTAAAGAACAAGAAGAACGTGAAAGAAAAGAAAGGGAGGAGGCTGAAAAACAGGAGAAAATCAGGTAAATAAATGTTTGCCGAAGATTACGTAAATAAAAGTGTGCATTAAAATGTTTTATTGACGAGAAAGAAATATTATATAGATTAGAGCAAGAAAGACGAAGACAAGCAGAAATTGAAAAGCAAATGCAAAGGCAAAAAGAGATTGAACAGGAAAAAGAGGAACAACGAAAACGAGCTCAAGAACAAAGAGAAGCAGCACGAAAGCAAGTGAAATCTTTTATGAAAATTTGTATCTTTAAAAATTTTTAAAGTTTTTAGTAATGTGAATTTTATCTGTTTAACAGAGAAATGGAAAGACAACGGCAATTAGAATGGGAAAGACAAAAATCACAAGAACTTCAAACTCAGAGGCAAAAGGAACAAGATGTGTTATTAAAATTGAAAGCAAAAAATCAGACATTAACCATTGAATTAGGAACACTTGTAAGTATTGAATAAATTATTATTAATAATATATTTGTATTATATAATATTTTTATTGTAATATAGAACGACAAAGTGAAGGAACTGTCTCAAAAAATTTGTGACACTCGGGTGGGTGTATCTGGGGTAAAAACCACAATTGATGGAATGCGATCAACGCGTGATGCACAATTGCAAGAAATGGCTGCTTTAAAAAATAAACTTCGAGAACAGAACCAAAGATTATTAGTCTTGAGTCAAGAGAAAGCTAGAATTGAAGCAAAGAATAAGTTAAATACAGCTATGGAATCAGCAGGTCAAGAAGCTATTAAAATGGCATTTGACAATAAACAAATTACCCTCAAACAGATGAGAGATAAAATTGCTGATCTACAAGAGCAGGTATATTAAAATATAGTATAATGTGTAATAAATTAGAAATATTATAAGTTTGTAATATGAAATTAATGTTCATAGATTGATGCTAAAATGGCTGATATAGAAAATAATAATGGCCAGCTTCAAGATATTAAAACCCAACTAGAAACTTTAGTGACTGATTGCAAGAACCTATATGTAACTTTCGAAGATAAAAAATTAAAAGTTTTAGAACTCGGAACAAGTGGTGGTACCGGAACTGGTACCGATTATACAACTTCTGCATGGGGTGATAATGCTTGGAATGATACTCCAGCAACAGTCAACGAATCTACTTGGCCTATCACCGATACTACTACAACTAACACTGTGGAAGAAACCACTCCTGGAGTTATGAAATATAGAGCTTTGTACGAATTTGTAGCTAGAAATCAAGATGAAATATCATTTCAACCTGGTGACATTATCTTGGTATTATTATAAAAATATATTCATACATTAAATTAATATAAAAGAAAAAGTAAGAATTAAATTATTCTTCTAACAGGTACCACCTGTTCAAAATGCAGAACCAGGATGGATGGCAGGTGAAATTCGTGGCCATACTGGTTGGTTCCCCGAATCTTACGTAGAACCAGTAGATACCGGAAGTACAAATGATAATGCTTTTATACAACAAGATAGTGTGGAGAAAAGAACGCTAGAGTTAGTTAATTAATTTGAATTTATATTTAATTGTTAAAGATACTTATAATTTACTCTTATGTTCATTTATTATAGAGGAATTGCTGAAGTTCCTGAAAATGTATCTGATACGGGATCACTCGGTGATGAACCTCCTCCCGTTGATCCTATTATACCTACTCTTGGATTAGGTGTAGCTTGTGATATACAAGTAACAACTTTATATCACTATCGTCCAACCATGGAACAACATCTTTCCTTTGAAAAAGGAGATATTATTAAAGTTGATGAACAACAGGTTAGTATAAGAATATATTTATTTTGTACACATATTAATATACTTATTTTTAATATAGAGTGATTGGTGGTATGGTATATCCAGTAGTGGAATTAAGGGTTGGTTCCCTAAATCATATGTGAAAGAAATTACTGCTAATCAGACTGCAGTGGTTGATGGTCTTAATGAATATTACGTAGCTTTATATCCATATACGTCTACAGAAGCTGGAGACTTAACTTTCAATCAAGGAGAAGTTATATTAGTTACTAAAAAAGAAGGTGATTGGTGGACTGGTAGCATAGCAGATAGAAATGGAATTTTCCCTGCCAATTACGTAGAAAAGTGCGAAGCTCCAGATCAAGAGGTAAAACGATGGTTGTTTTTCCCTTTTATTGAGTGAAGTTTGAATAACTTATTCCACTTTTTATTGAATAAAGCAATGAAATGCTTTCCTAATAAGGTATATAACATTAACATCTATAACATTAATCAGGGTGTCTCTGTAACTACTAACGTATCTGAAACAATTGGAGTTACTACAACTGGAGATACAACTATGAGTAATCATGAAGTAACTGCTTCTGTTGTCCAGGCAATATTGGTTCGTAAGATTTGATTTTAATATTTTTACTGTGTGCCTATTTTAAGAATATATTTCCTGTATATTGTAAAAAGCTTAGTAGATATAATTTTATGTGCGTAATATTAATAATTAGCATGTAATGTATAAAGCTAGATGCACATATCCCATGTTTAGCAAACAGAAAAAACTGCTGAGCAACTCGAAGATGAAAGAACAGCTGCGGAAGATAGAGCAGAATTGCCAGATTTTACTGCAATGGCTGCACAGCAGGTAATTAAAATTTGCTTATGGCATATATGTAGTTACCAGATATATAATAATAATTGTTTAATAAAATTTGTTTTTTTTTTTTATTTTATTGCTGGTATCCTGTTATTGCAGTATCATAAGGTATTTTATCTGTTACAAAATGTATTTTCTATCTTCTATATTTCAAATATTATGCTTACTATCTATGTTACAGCTTTGTAAATAACTGTTTAAATTTGAGATATTTTTTATTTTTATTACAATATCTCTCTCTCTATATATATATTTATATATATATCACAATATGTAATATATATATATCAGAAATAATATATAAAAATTATAAAAAACATAATGAATTTTAATGTCTTTTTTTTTAACAGAGAGGAAGAAAACCAGAAATTGTACAAGTTATTGCACCTTATAAAGCCACTAGTTCTGAGCAATTAGATTTACAAAAAGGACAATTAATAATGATCCGTAAGAAAACAGATAGTGGTTGGTGGGAAGGAGAATTACAGGTACAACAATTTATTATTCGTTACATGTCTAATATAGTAAAATTATTATTTGAATAATTATTATATTATATGTTATTTCTATTCTGTTTAGGCACGTGGTAAAAAAAGACAAATTGGTTGGTTCCCAGCATCTTATGTTAAACCTTTGTCTAGTAGTAGTAATCGAAGTACCCCTGTTTCTCATGGATATCAAGATTCCCCTACAGATCCAAATGTTGGTAAGCAGTTTTTAACTTTAATATTGTTCTATGTACACTAGATATAAAGAATATAAAGAATGAATAATACGTTCTATTATTGTAGAACGCGTTATGGCTTTATACCCATATCAAGCACAAAATGAAGATGAATTAAGTTTCGAGAAAGGTGATGTTATAACTGTACTTGCAAAAGATGAAGCAGCATGGTGGAAAGGCGAATTAAATGGTGTATCTGGCGTCTTTCCCAGTAATTATGTATCCTCTATGTGTAAGTATTTCTTGCCATTTCCAAATTTTACATTTCGTTTACAGAACTGGAAACATAATTTATTTGCGTCTATCATTAGTGTTTACTAAGAAGCAGTTTTGGAGCAACTTTATAGCATATTAGTGCTATAAAATTTACACGAAATAATATAAAACAAATATGATCATTATAGCGTATTCTCACTTTGTAATACACGGATAGACGGATGACCGTCAGGTTTCAGTTTTTATTTATCCTTATAAAATATAAATCGATATTGTAACAGTAACGAATTTAAAATTTTGAAATTGTAGTGTATAACTTAATACGATGGTCGCTTAGCAGGACCAGATAAAATAGTAATTTTTTAAATATTACTTTATCAATCAAATATATTTAATATTTTTTTTCATATTGTATAACTTTGTAAAGATTGTTGAGATATCAAAAATGTTTATAAGGACATGATAAAGATATATTTTTAGACAAATTGTTATAAATATGTTAAATATATATTATATTTAGTTGTATGACCTTCGTACTTAAATAATGTTACATGCTTATAAAATTTATTTGAAATTAAATATAGGTTACAAGCATAAATAGAATAGTTATTAAATATTTCGACATAATTTTCTATTAAGTTAGATATATAAACATTATTTACCTCTTTTCATTGTTTATGGTTTATAAGAATTATATTTTAGTTGATGATAATTATGTGAAAACGATATCGTTTTAAAACGGGTGTTATGTGTGCTTCCTGCTCTGATATGGCTGCATTAAAATTCAGCACTTTGGCTTGGAAAGCGGTACATCTGTACTTTACAATAATCGTTATTTCATTTCTGGTCTATTTGTAACGGGTAGTTTTTTTGCGGAAACAATTATCAGAGAAATGTACTTTCTCTATTATACAGCCTGCCTGTCTACCTGCATGCCTGCCTGTTCGTCCGTCTGTCCGTTTGAGGTAGCTACTTCGTTTCAATAAAATATTTATATCTTTTATACATATATATATACACACACACACATACACGCGCGTGCACGTACGTATGCATATAAGTGAAAAACATAAAATTACATCATTTTATTCAATATATAATCTAAAATATTAAGTATATTCTTATTTTATAAGTATCATATCATTAATGTAAAAAGAGTTATATAATTAGTCAAATATTTTATTCAATATATATTATTTAAAATTAAAAATCTTATTATTATAATAGAAATTAACTTGAATTATTATTATTTTATTTTCTTATACTAACATTGTGAACTTGCTTTACTGTTTTAAATCATATCTATAGAAAGTATTTAAATGCAATTATAATGTTGAGAGTAGTACCATAAAACGAAATAGCTACTTCAAAGAATTTGAACATCTGTCATTTGCTTACAATACTTGGAAACAATCCTTTTTACTAATTGTTATCTTTCGCCTCTGCTTAACATGCAGCATAAAGGATAGCAGAGCAGCACCGCAGCATTGCAGGCTAAAATAAAAGCATCTCAAGTGCAATAAGAATGATAGCAGTCTCTACGCTGAACGTGACAACCAACAAGTCTTATCGGTGGAGACAGTGAGCATAAAAATGAAAGCAAAAAAAAAAAAAAAGAGAAAAAAAAGACTCAGGGCTGGTTCTTCGTTTTTGTATTACTCTGTATTATTACGAGTCTTTTTCTTCTGGTTCGGGGTCATACTCGGTCCATTATTTTTATTGTCGTTCAAATTGTTACCATATGTCTTAATAATCATTATCCTTTAAACTATTGAATCTCTATGTATGGTTTGCTAACGCGATTACCATAGCGCAGTATTTATAAATATACGCGTACAGGAGAGTACTAAATATTGAGTAACTATATAACTTAATATCATGTTATCATAACCACCTGATATGTGCATCAAATTCTACCTCATTTCTCTACATTAATTCAGGGCAGAGCTTAAAAAATGATGAATATAATTTCTTTGTTTATTTGGAGTAATATATATCAATAGCTAATATATGAAATAAACATGAAAAACAACATATATTTACTTCAAAAGTTTAGCTTTTAAAGAATATTAAATATGTTTCCTGTTTATACTAACACTTTTAGCTCGAAGAAAAAAATTAAAAAAAATACACAGAAGATGGTCATATCTGAAAATATAGCTATAGTGGAACAGAAATACTTTCTGCTAGAATCAAAGACAATAAACATCTAAGTATTTATCTACAAAACATTCATACTATTCTATGTATTTAACAACATTTGAACAGCTTTATGTGTAAATAAAAATATAGAAACATTATTAAATAGTCAACATCGGGCTTAAAGTGTTAGTTCAATAAAAATTATATGTGTAAGTGTTACTAGCAGTACTAAATTTGTATAGTTAATACCTTAAGGAAATTTTTTTTTAATATTTATAAACTGCCTGTTTCGTTTTATTGTTAGCAGTAGTATGTTATTTGGTGCACAATACAGATGGTTTGTACAGTTATACTGCGCCAAGGCCTAGAGCAAAAGTACTGGCAACTGAATATTACTTTTTTGCTTGCCTTCAATGTAAAGGGAGAAGGAGTTGTTAAATTATAATGTTAAATATGTCATTTCACGTTTTCTTTACCACATAAACAAGGAAATGATTATAATGTGTAGGAGATATTTATATAAAATTTTTTAATAATTACACAGTCCATAAATTCTGTTTAAATTCAAAATTCTTTAGATAAGTGTAAAGATCGAAAAGTAATATTGTAATATCATGCATAATATTTACGAAAGGGAATGAAAATATTGCTCTCTTGTAACTCCAATAAGTTTAACCAAATCTGTTGTTCCTATTTATTTATTCTGTATATGTATAGTTATTTGTTTTTCTTTGATTTGTCCAATAAGATGATGTGCTCCTTCTTCACAGCCTTTTATTATAGAGCCTAAATCATCAATAAAATATCACTAATAACAATCATAAAGTTAGATAGATATTATTACCACTGGTGGGAATAATTTGTTAAGTAATGTTATATTGTCGTAAACCAGTTTTTCCATCAATTTACCTCTGAGTATAATAGTTTATACAATTTAAACATAGGATATTTAAATATTATACATATATATGTTTTATTTAACTACTGACTTATTTTTTATTTATATTTATTGCTTTAATATTATGAATCTCGGTGTTGAAATACTTAAATATTGCATTATTGTTTTAAGCAATTATTTTCGAAATAATTTACTATTTTCTATTAAATTTTTTTTATATAGAATACATTATAAAATATTCCAATATTCTTACGTTTATAATGTTTAAAATTCTATACAAATTTTGAGAAGTAATGTAATACTACTTCTATATTTATTAAAAAAAATGGTTAAATGTATCGAATTATATTATATTTAATATTCATTCCATTGAAACATTCAGAAGTTTGATGGAATAACTAGTTTCGAATAATCGCAAAAGCGCACAGTAGATCAGCATATTTATACACTAATTAATCCTTTTACACGTTCTATATAACTCTTTGCAACAAAAAAGTGTATAAATATGCTTGATTGTAAAATTAAATATTGTGTGCTTAATATTAAATATTCTAGATACGCCAATAATCTTGTAATCTTTATCTGAACATGTTGACAATGTGTAAAGCAAGTTATGCAACTGGTTATACTTAGATGAAAAATACTTGTGTAGTACTATATCCTTAAGGTTGTTACTATTTGCAAAATATCCATATTGTTTGTTTGTTGTACCGTCAAATTTCATTATGAATCTCAAATTGTGTGTGGTATACTTTGGAGTGAAGGACACTGTATGAGTGTGAACAAGTTCAAATCACTCTGTATTTATTACAGTTTTTGTTCACACTTCATGTGGATATATTTGACATTTCTAACATGCATATACACGCTGTTCTTATACATATGTACACATATCCATACATAATATACAGACGTGTTCACAAAACTGCTGATTGAAATAAAGTATCTGTCTGTTGTAAAGTATTGTTGTGTACAACAATTATAAATTACTTAGTGTAACCCAATGACTAATTTAAATATTTAAAATATTATTTTATGGAATATTTTATGTTTTTTAAGTTCTATATTACAATGATTTTATTCTTAGAAGATTATATATTATTATTGTTAATAGAATCTACATAATTTGTTGTTTAGAGTAAGTCAGTTAAAATTAGCTAGAGTAAATTTTTTGTAGAGAGATGAAAAGAAATTGAATGAACTTCCATACATTTTATGTGTAGCGAATGAGATGACAACTGACTTACTAGTGGCTGGATTGGACTCTATGGAAAGAAAACGACAAGAATACATTAAAGAACTTATTACAACTGAACAAGCATACATAGAAGACATGAGACTTGTACATGAGGTATTTAAGTTTTTCAAAATAATTTTATATGTAATAAACATAAATTTGTGTTTTAAAAACTGAAAATTTTTTATAGGTATTTGAAAAACCTCTCATCGAAAGTTTAGTTTTATCTGTAGATGAAGTGGACAAAATATTTGTTAATTGGAGAGATATCATTGCATGCAATGATAACTTTTTAAGGTAGCTTTTTTAAAATAAATATTTCATTAATATTTATTCAAAATAATAATTTAAACAAATTTTTTTAAATTAAATAATTTCAATAATAATTTCTACAAAAATATGTATTTATTTAATAAATATTTTTCAGAACTTTACGAATACGACGAGATAATAGCGAAGGAGGTATTGTTAGAATGATTGGAGACATTTTATGTGAAAATGTAAATTCTTTCTATTGTTTGTAATTAATTTTATATTTTAGTTTAATATTTATATATTTCTGTATTTTAGATTCCTAGAATGTCAGCATATATAAGATTTTGCAGCTGTCAGATATCTGCTGCTGTTTACCTACAAAGATTAACAGAAACAGTACCAGAATTTGTCAAAGTTGCTCAAGTTTGTCAACAAGATCCACGTACAAAAGGAATGCCTTTAAGTTCCTTCCTAATAAAACCAATGCAAAGGATAACAAAATATCCTCTTATAATTGGCAAAGTATTCTCACTTTTTATACTTCATATGTCCTTAATTAAAATATGACAAATCATTATTACTGCATTTATGATGTAATAATTATTATTACATATATTATGTATATTTTAGATTTTAGAACATACTCAAGTTGATCATCCTGATAGGCAATATCTTCAAGAAGCATTGGCTAAAGCAGAAGAATTTTGTACTCAGGTGAAGCTTTAGAAATGTGAATTATGTAGCTTAAAAGAATTACTAACAAAGTTTTAGTGTTTATTTTTTTAATAGGTAAATGAAGGAGTTAGGGAGAAAGAAAATAGTGATAGATTAGAATGGCTGCAAACACATGTGGCTTGTGATGGTCTTGAGGAGCAACTTATTTTTAATTCTTTAACCAATTCTTTAGGTCCACGAAAACTTCTTCATTTTGGTATACTTCATAAGGCAAGTCAAATCTAAAATTACATTTTTTTTATGTACTAACAATTTTGATATCTTTTTTAGGCAAAAAGTGGAAAGGAACTTGTTGGATTTCTCACAAATGATTTTCTACTGTTTGCTCAACCAGTGTTTACGAAAAAGTCTTTATTCAATGGACAACAGTTTTCATTTGAGAGAAATGAACACCAAAAATTTAAGATGTATAGAAAGGTATTTTATAACATATTATCATAATGATATTACCTAGCTGTAATAATAGGAAAATACCTGAAATATTTCTCTTTTGCAGCCAATATTTTTAAATGAATTATCATTCTTGGGTGATGCAGACACAAATGGTGATGTCAGTTTAGGTTTCAGTGAAAGCACAGAAAACTTAACTAAAATACTTAGATTAAAAGATCAAAAGAAACCAATAATATTATTATCACCTTCTCCAAGTGAATGTTCATTATGGGTCCGAAGAATTACAGAAGCAAGGAAGAAATTTATGGAGAATGAAAAGACGCGTTTGCAAAGACAAAGATCGAGTAAGTCATATTATTATTATTTTCAAACATTATTGTTAAATTACAATATGTCCTATTTTATTTGTCCTTGCAATGTTATTGCAACAGTGAATGTTATAAATATAATATATCATATAAAAAATATTTGTTAATAAATTTGACATATAATAATATGTAACATGTGTGAGTAAACAGAGCAGGCGCAATTTGGAGCGTGTGGCAGAATTCTTGTTACAGTGCTTGAAGGTTTCAATTTAAAGACAATACAGGGTAAGCGAATATGTATGCTTAAGTTATTTGCTTTTTTCATGCTTGTGCTTTTGCTTGCGTATGGTTGCTTGATATTACATATTATCTTTTGCACCAATGTATAGTAAAAGGGAGTAAAATAAAATACTAATATCTACAAAGTAAGGCAAAAACACCGAGAATCATTTATATTGAAATTATTTTCTTTAACTACACAACGCATTTTTACTAACAAAAATCTGGCATGATTGTAGTTCGCAGAAGATCACCCCAAGGTAAACTTCGATTAGTAATTGTGGAAGCTGAAGATTTAGTTATATTGAAAAAAGGTAAAATTTTTTGTTTGCATGCAATCCAGTATGTAGGTGGATATATAAATAAAGTAAAATAAATGTAACAAAGGTTTAAATTATGCATTGTATTTTTTATCTAAATTTTATTTAATTTTTGCTTTTAGTTTGTGTTTAATATGTACTGTTTTCTTTTTTCTTAGACATTCTGCATGCAATTTGTTTATAACTAAACTCAAGAAAAATTATTTTTTGAAATAGTATATTAGTATTTAATAACATTAAACTAAGTAACATTACTATCATATATTGGTTTTGAAAGCTGCAATTTATGCAACTGCAATTTACACTTTCATTTTGTTTTATTAACAGTATTAACATTGTAAATTATTCTGACATAAAATTAGAATAATTATAATAAAAAGTGTCATAATTATAATACACGATTAATTTTTTAGGAAAGTGTAATACATTTTGTAAAGTAAGCATGGGTTCACAAGAAGAAAGAACAGGTGTTGTATCAGGTACTGATTGTCCCTTATGGGATACATCAATGCAGTTCCAAGTAAAAGATTTACTCGAAGATACATTATGTATCACAGCCTTTGATAAAGGCTACTATAGCCCAGATGGTAAACCTAATTCCTCATTTCTGATATAAATATAATCTTAAATATTTCAAAATAAAATTGTTATTTTAAATATTACATTAGAATTCCTTGGACGGGCAGAAATAAGAGTTGCTGACATAATGAGAGATAGTAGAGATTCATGTGGACCAATACAAAAACGTATTCAATTACATGAAGTTGAAAAAGGCATTGTTGTGATGAAATTGGATCTACGACTTTTTGGTAATCGATAAAAGGATTCATATTTTTAGGTAAATAGTTACAATTATTACTGCCAACAAAATTTTCCATATCATTACTTATAAGAATAATTTCTTTCCTTAATGTAATTAGATAATTTTCGTAATTATAAGTGACTGCTAGAGATACAAAACAATATAAAAAAACAGTTTATTGTATATTTATTATACTTCAAATAAGTTGATGAGTAAGTGTTATTCAATGCATTATTTTAATAATATGGGTCTGGTAATTCTGGTATTAGTTTATAAGGAAGTAAATACTTCTATTATTGTTCATGTATATCATGTATAAAGCTCAAATGATCATACTAATTTTTAGTCTTCCTTAGAATTTAATTATTTATATTCTTGTCAATCTACAGTATTATTGTTATTATTATTATTATTATTATTATTATTATTATTATTATTATTATTATAAGATTAATAGTATGTAACTAGAAAGCATTTTTTATTTTCTGTTAAACATATTGTACAAAATAGGGAGCATTTTAGGAGGGCATTAGTATAAATAAATCGGGTATAAATGAATAATTTAAAAATAATTTATTACATTAAATACTTAGCATATAATTGTGATTATCAAGGAAAAAATAGAAAATAAATAATGTAATATACATCTTTCATCCTAACTTCTATGTGAAAATGTATAACTCATATGATAACGTATGAATTAGATGTACAAAGTATGATAGTTTTAATTTAACAATAAGATTTCATAAATTACTATATAGTCTATCAATAAAGTAGATAAATTAATATAAATATAGTAATTTATTAATATAATAAACGTTTTAAATGATTCCTTGTAAGTATTTAAGAGGATTACATGCAAAGCAATGCAAATACACTTAACAAAATTTGGTTCTTCGGTATAAAATATTTTATAATATATTGTACTACCAAAATAGACAAGTCTATTGTTAAATTTTTAAAAATACATAATTCAAGCACATTGCTTGCATCTCATTGCATTTAACCCTTCTCACAAAATTCACTGATCTAAAGTTACCAAAGATCATATGAATATTCAGACTTGTATTGTTTTTACATCCCCCCTCCTCTCTTCCTGAAGACAACAAATTGTCCCAGATGACTGATATATATAGCTTCGAGGTACTTGATTTCTATTTCAATGTAGCATTTCAATTAATGTGTCTTCAATTATCTAATTATAAAGATTACTTGAAAAAATTCATACCAATTTTTCTACCTTTGGCGAAAGATGGCAATGCTAAAAAGAACGAAACCGTGATTAACAAAATATTCGAAACCATATCTATCTTCGTTTAATTACTATACTTTTTTATTTAATAAACACATTTTTTCATCAAACCGTCGAATTTATAGACTCTTGGAGATGAGTACTAACTTCTGTATCCACATCGCTAGATTCTCGATGCTCTGACCGATTCCCGTCTTCCGATGGAAATTCGTAAATTGGTTTGAACCCGCCAAATAGTTGTGGCTTGAAATTTTCAGCGTCGAATTCAGTTTTCTCCGTCTGAGTCTCTTCTGCATTTGACGTAGTCTCAGAGAAATCATCATCTGATTTTCTATTAATAGTAGGCTCAACTACAACAACGCTCCAGCCATTTTTTGAAGGAGCTTCTGCGCTGATACTTGCTACAAATGGTGCCATGAAATTCTGTGGCGAAGGTGCAGAACTGGAGGAACTAGAAGGTTGCTGAGAGGGTAACAGAACGGGTTTCTGGTCACTTTTGTCAATCTTAGAACTGTCCTCATCCCGCACATCCACATCTAGACGATGAGAAGCTTGTGCTGTTGGCGTATAAACGTAAGCGATTGGAGTAGAGGATGGTAAGGCTGGCAAACGATGAAGTGTAGCCGCAATAACATCATTCTTCCTCGCTGGAAAAGGTACGAAGTCTTGTAAATACGGTATAACGTTTACATTAGAGTCCTTTTCATCTTTTTCTTCAGTATTTTCTTGCACAGAGACCTCTTCATGTCGTTGATCACTGGGTACCAATAATGGCGTTTCCCTCATTCCATTGACAAAGATGGAAGGATCAGGACGTTCCAGAGGATATGGAAAGTCTGAAGCAACTGGTCGTCCATTAAATATATTGTGAACAGAAGGTCTTACTTCTTCATTTATTTCTTGATCCTCATTGTCTTGGAGCAATGTTTCTGGCGGAAGAGGACGATGGGGACCTCTTGTTCCAACTACTACGCTCTCGTCTTTTTCTCTAGAATCATCAGGGTGAATATTCACAGCAGTATTTACAGGATATACTACGTAAACTGGTGGCTCAGCCATTGTTTCATGGCTATCAAACTTCCTTCTATCAGCATTTTGTTCAGTCACTATTCTGTCTGATTCATCACTTGTGTTTGCACTCATTGAGGACAAATTTCGTTCTGTCACGTCTTCTTCGAATTCTCCATGCTGTTGAATCATCTGAAGTGTGGCTACATGTGGCGAATCTGCTATTCTTCGCTTGGAAAACAAGGGTGGTCTTGGTGGCATTTGTGGTGGTTCCTCTGAGTAACGTTCTGACCGTTCTTCTTCTTCGAGTCGCAATTTTTGGTTGGATAATCGATGCACTAATTTAACATCGTTTTCTCCTCTGGATGTGGCTGGCATTGATGGGAGGCGAAACCTTTTGACTGTAGATTCTGTATCTCGTGGAGGCACTATATTATCAGCTTTTGCGGATGCTGCACCAGCAAGTCTGACAGCGTGGATTGGAGGAGGAGGAGGATTTAATCTCTGAAGATAAGATGGAGGTGGAGGTAAAGGTCTTCTAGTTGGAGGATGAGGCTGAACAGATTGTCTTACTCTAGTGGAATAAGGTTGACCAGCTGTAATTGTTCCAATCGTCTCTGATCCACGATGTCCATGTGATGTTTTAGCATTAGGACGAAATTGTGGTAGAATATTTGGTAAAGTAGAATCAGGAGAATAAGGACGTCTCCTTATTCCTATGGCTTCTGAAGGAGGAGGTGGAGGAGGAGGAGGTGGAGGTGGTGTAAGTGGGGGTGATGGCTGTTTTCCACGAGAGGGTAGTGGTAACCTTTGCAGTCGAAGATGATCTGGTCTTACTGTACCTCCATGATGATAATGATAATAAAATTGTGGAGCTGGCTTTGGTCGTTCGGCCGGTGGAGTTAAATTTTCTGAAAGTTGTGGTAGATGTTCTTCATTTGAAACAGTAGGATCTACTCTTACAGGTTTTAGCTTTGTAGAAGAAGGTGTTATTTCATGTACCGTACCATCAGCTTCATTTATGACAACGATATGTTCCTCAATAGGTTGTTTAGGCTCATCCTTGGGGAATACTACATAGTTAACATCCTTATCATCTTTCTTATCTTCTGATTGTTCCAAAAGTACAGAGCCTTTTACAAATGAATTTTGTGTTCTAGGAGGTTCTATTTCATTAGCCAGCTTTTGAGTCCCAGTAGGGTTAGGCTGTCTCCGTGTTTGAGCCGCATAAGTGGGATTATTTTCCAATACTGATACTGAAGATAAACCGACTGTTCCACGAGTGTCCGATTGTGGATCATAACCATTTTTATCCGGTAGAACACTATATAGAGGCCGGAAAGAGGAATCAAATCCAGTGGAACCTCCATAAGGATTCTCCCCAATTGCAGTACCCAAAGAATAGTACCCACCTTCAACGTTTTGCCTATTTCCAAGAACAAAGGACACTGTATCCTGATCAGGTGGTATTACTATGTTACTTGTGCTCTCTACCAGAATCCCTCCTAATCCAGTTGGTCTCTGATTAATAACTGTGTTTGGACGATACCCCTGATTCACGATAATATTATCTGCGATACCATGCCTTCGATTATCATTTTCAAACGCTGATGACACGCTATGTTCGTTATCCAAAGGCATGGATGTTACTGGACGCGAAGAAACAGCTTGAAACGGTAACGAGTTACTTTGAAAACTATTTTCCTGGGATGCCAGTGAAGAATACATTACAGATGATGATGGAACTGATGCGTTCGTTGTTGTTGTTGTCATGGTGGTAGTTTCTAGTGCTCCAATGGTTGTGGTTATATTAGAAACAGTTGATGTTGTAGTAGGCAATGTGCTAGTCCTTACAATTTCATTAGTCGTAGTATTTATTGAAACATAATCCTTTACATCCTCTCCTTCACCAATTTCATAATCTTCGTAACTATCAATGTATTCCTCATGCTTTATAGGAGGCTTTATCTGAGGGTCCCGATTATGTTGCTCTACGTTATTTGGTTCTTGATGACTATTGCCGTACATTGAAGATTGAAGTTTTTCTATCGGAAGAATATCATCATAATCCTCCAAACGATCAACATATCGTTTGGGAGTGGAGATTGGAGGCTTCCAAGTAGTCACGATAGGTGCCTTCGTAGAAGTGAAAACTGTGGTAAGTGGCGGAGGACTCGTAGTTGTAGTAGTAGTAGTAGTACTCGTAGTAGTTGTCGACGTTGAAGCTGTCGGTCTTGAAGTTGTAGAAGTGGTAGTAGAGCTGGTTGTAATAGATGGCGTTGGTTTAGAGGTCATTGTCGTCGTTATAGACATAATGGAACTTGTTTTAGGTAAATACGGTTTCCTGGTAGGGTAATACATTACGGTTTCTCCGTGATAAGGCTTATGATTGTATGTACTATAGCTATTTGATCCACTCTGAACTTTTGTATTTGCATAGGAACTTGAAATCAATGGGTATTTGTCCTTGCCATACTTATCAGATGAATAATGAACTGGAAGATTAAGAAAATCGTGAAAATTAGGTGAATAGGGATTAATCTCATTAGGGCTAACATCTTCAGTCTCCTTGTCGTTCTCCTTCTTCTTCGTTGAGTAAGAACTGTTTTCTTTCGAAAAGTTCTTATTATTGCTCCGGTCGTTCTCGTTCATATGTTCTTGATAACGATTACTAAAGTTCAGGGCCTTAACTGGCGGTGCCTTCTCAAAGTCAATTTTACCAGTGATGGGATCCTTTTCCAATGAGAACGGCCTACCACCATTGAAGGCGAAAGGATACGGAAGGTGATAACGTGGCGCTTCTTCGTCGTCTGACGCTGAGAGGGCAATGGTGCTCTCTTCTGCATCAAGATCCAGGTCAAGGTCATCCAGCTGTGCCGTCTTTGCCAAACTCGGAGATGATTCAATTTCTTCCAGCAAAGACTTTGGTGGACTGTTGTCCATATGGCCGCCCATTAAATACTCTGACAAGGCGCCTGTCACACAGGTCACCATAACCATGAATATCCACAAACTGCACTCCATCATTCTTGATGAATCTGGAAGTATTTTGCATTGACAATAAAATAAAAACTTTCAATTATCTATGAAAATATTTTTTATATATTTTACGAACTTTACTATTATTAATATTAACTATAGAACAGATATGATAAGTAAAACCTAATTACATGGAAAATATTTCATTAGAAGAGAATATAACTCTATGATTCTTATTTGTATTACGTTATAGTTATTATTGATGAAGATATCATTGCACTTATACAAAATTTCAATGTCAAATTGTTATATTGTATTGTATTGCATTTATTTAGTATTGTATTTTTAAATATCCAGTTGAATTGTGGATTCTACATTTTTCTTTACAAAGATAAATAACGATTATTATAACCATCCAAAAATATATTCCACTTTCTTTTGCTGCTACCATATTATTTTACACATTTATGAAGCTTCAGAATATTCATGGTGCTTGTTTTTCTAGGCTGTCAGCGTGTCGGGTGGTAAAATAGAAGGCCGGAAAGGTTTCGTTCCTTGTGTCCTACATTTAATATATCTGGATACAGTTGTGAAATATGCATACGGGATACACGTACGGTTCATGGTATGCCCACCGGATTTGTCGCGTTATACCATGACTGAAATTACTGTAAACGCGTCAGCGAACGTGCATCACCTTCTTCAAATAAGAACAACGCGAACAAATGCAAATTAATTAATTAATTAACCGTATAAACGCATATCTAGATGTACTACTAGGATCCTTAACTTAAAAGTACTACTTCCTATTATTTGTAATACCATTTATAATTCTTACATAAAAGTAGTTTGACAATTTAAAAAGAAACAAAGAAATTTAAATTTTACTTAAATTTAACTTTCGTTAAATGAGGGAATTTTTCATTCATTAAAGATTGGAATAAATTAATTAATAATTAAGTATAATAAAAGTATTCGAGTTATATCTTGAAATTTCATGCAGCATCCGTAGGAATTATTATTTAATAAACTTTCTAAAAGATACTATCAAATGTGAATAAGCATAAGTAATCTCCAAAATTTAGTAATTCAATCTTATACAAAAACAAAAATCAAAATCGTTTATTGTTGACGATATATTAAGCTTCTGGAAGTAATTAACGGATCCTCTGACCGTGGAAAGAATCATCAACACAATAGAATGATAAATAAGGACAGGCTGTTACATCTTTCATCAAGCGGAATTGCGTTCCAACGCGTAACGGGTTTTCTCGTCTTCTCCCTCTTTTTCTCTTTCTCATGCTCTTCCTGTGGCATTCCAGCAGCTTTTGTCGAGGTTGTACCACAATCTCGATCACTGTATTTGGCATTAGCATTTTGTTACTCGCACTTTCGAGAGAGCTTTCGTTGTCACAAACAAAACGAGACCAGCGTTTCGAAGGATTTCTGCTATACCGTCAGGAATACATTCAAAGGACATTTATGATATTAATAAATATTGTGTATTTTTTAGGTTATACCAATTGTTTTTATACCTTTCAATTAGTTATTTTTGCTATAAGTATGTTTGTTTGATTATGTAAATCACTGATGCCATTTTTTTAATGATTAAATAGTGTATCCTGTCTTTTTATTTCAATAATAAGTTTTCATGCAAAATTGCACAATTTTGTAAACAAGTAACTTTCCCATAAATTCTCTCATAAATCACGAAATACTCTATCATAAAACTTCATACAAGTCTTTCCAAACAATACTTTGTTGTTGATATCTCTGAGATCACAGCCCAAAGTCCTATGACCATAATGTTCGTCTCTAACGTGTTCGTGACCGTGACCGCCTCCTAACTCGGTGACTGGTACACGAAACAGAAACGCGTGTACTGTTCATCGGGATGACCCACTTTAACCGGCTTGTTTTCGGGGTTTCATCCTCAAGAGCTGTTTCAACTACAACAGGTCCGTGAATCATACACTTTTCCGTGACCAAAGCTACCAGAGAGAACCGTAATAATATTCATCGTTGCCATTCCTTCTCGACCTCTTTTTCTTTTACGGTGCTTCTGTGAATGGTTCATTGTAATCTTGTATATGATTATTAGGATCTTTATAGAGCACTTGAATTATTTTATTAAAAATCTTTCGTTTTTTTTATACCATTTTTTATTTTATATATCGTATAGTTAGTCCATTAATATCCGGAAATTTTATTATTTTGAATCATAATTCGAATTATTATTTTGAACTTTGAGAATTTCTAATCGACATGATAACACTTTTTATTTTATTCGAAATTTTTTGGACTCCTATTCAAATCTTTATAAGATCTTGAAGTACTCTCTTCTTGTAAGTACTTACTTATGTTTTATCAGTAATACAATTATTATAATGATAGATGGAAAAGATGATGTTTTTGATAAAAAATCACTCTCCAATTCCTATTTTTTCCTTAGATACAAAGATCTTAATAGAGCTTAGTAACTCAGAATTTCTTCTATTCTGTTCCTTCCTTCCTGATCCTTCATTTCTTCCTTTACCGACGATTAATAATTAGGGTTATTATAGGGAGATGGCGTTAAGATAGTTAAATCGTCAAATCATCAACGCTTTCTTCGCCTTTTGAGTTATGTAAAAAAGCAAAGCAGAGGGTAACCGATTCCAAACACAATTTTTAAGATGCTTTAATGCAATTCTTATTAGTTTATGCTCCCTTGTTTAAAATTTTTAGTACAACACTAACTCGGTCTAATTATAACGGTAGCAAAATTGTAGAATATATATTCTAATTTCACGCTGCCTACATAAAATTCATAATAATATACTGTATTACCATATTCTCATCTATTTAGCTAACTAAATATAATTAATATACCATAAAATGACATAATTTTGTTAAATAAAATCGGACATTATTATTATAATCTTTTTCTATTAATCTTTCATTAACTTTCGTTCGAACAATTTTTCTGTTATTTTCTACTATTTTATTTGTGATAATAAATAAATATTAACAAGAATGAAAAAAATCATTATTAACTAAACCTCAAGAATGAATCAAATAAATGAGTTAAAATAAAAAAAAGTAATTTTGGTATCACTAGACAAATAGAAAAATTGTAATACAAAAAATATTTTTCTTTGCATTTGGTATATCAAATACTATTTCATTTGAAAATAATTAATTTTTGTAATTAAAATTTAATACGCAATAAAAACAATTACCTGGATCCAATAATAGGATAAACGCGAATGTTCTCCAGTGGTCTCGGAACGACTTTCAGAGTTGCGCAGCACTTAAAGTTCCATGTACGCGAACTCTAATTACCTTTGAGTTCGTCACTCTCGGTTTTTTTGCTAACGAGGAAAGCAATCGAGAATCGCGAACACGACAAAGGTGAATAAAACATACGACGAAACCATGAAAACTTGCAGCCCTGATAGAGAGTCACACATCGACTGAGGTGCTTTAACGGCCAGGTGATGCAAGGAAGACGACAAAAGTGGTGGCGGCAAGACGAAGAGGTGGAAACACGAAGGATCGTGGATGAAACAGTCTGCAGGAGCAAAACGAAAGTATACGGGAAGAAAATGATGGTCTGAGAAGATTCTCCAGTTAGAATGAAAGTACAATAGATCACTGAATTTGAATAGTTTTAATTTTCAGAAGCTGTGTAACAAATCAACTTTTAATATTTTGTTTTATTAGTTCTGTATTATATTTTACATATTACTTATACTAAAAAAAATTAAAGTGGATAATATATTTTAATTAGTACATAGTACATTTTTTTTAAATTTTCTGAATAGTTAACTATTGTGAATTTTTTAAAATATCAATTTCACTTTTTATCCTAATATTAGTTTATTGATTTTATCTAATTCTTGTGCAAATATTACCATTTCTGGGTTTTCTTATAATTAATATTTTTTAAAAATTCATTTCCATTAATATAAAATTTATTATAATTTTATAAAATAAAATTTATTTAATTCTTAAAAAATAATATTATTTATTTCATTATATATTTCATTCTATTATTTCGAATAAAAAATCCAATTATTTTATTCATAAAAAATATAACACGCTCGAAGGAATAAACTTTCAAAGGTTTTCTTAATGTTGAAATTGATTGTAGAAAGATTCCTTAGTACGTGGTAGATGTCGATAGAATGAGGAAGGAAAAGAAGAGTCAAGATACTCCACCGTATTTCACGGTTATCAAATGATGGAGGTAAGAAAGAGAAGGAGTAGTTGAATCTGACTAATGGACGACAGAGTCGACAGAACGGTACGTGGAACAGTTAGACGACGACCCACATTGCAGGGAGTTGCTCAGGGCCGGCCAACGTGCCAGTTTCTTCGACCTTACCCTCCGTTAACATAAGCTAGATATTCTAGGATAATATTAAAGTCATTTAACCATTTATTTAAGCCCATTAATTTACCTCCACTTTTTTCAAAAGGCCTACCTATTATATTACTCTTCTACTAACGTAATTGTATTAACTTCCTATTTCTTTCTTTCCTTTCAATTTGTCCTTTTGAATCCTGTTGGTATTTTTTTGGTTTAATAATTTTCTTCCTTACAATCTATGTCAATAGCAATTAGCACACATAAACTGGTTTATGATCTTCTATAACTTATATTTTGGCAGAAATTATAGAAATATTTTGAAAAACTAAAAGAACTATAAGGAGGAAAATTTAAAGTACTAAATACATTAAAAATTACCATGTTATGAAAAAAAATGTTTATTTTTCTTATACTTAAATATAGATCTGGCTTTAATGTGTATAAGATGATTTCTTATGATATTAAAAAACATTAGATTATTTAAGCCTATTTTATTTGTGGGAAAACAATGTTAGAGTAAAAATTATACCCATGTTATAACTATTTTTTCTTTCCCTTTTTTACAACAGATACAGGTGCTGGCAATGGAACTTTTAGAGTAACAATTTTCTTATCCTCCTTATTAGGTAATGCACCAATAATTCTGGCAAGGTCTGTCAATTTTTTTAGACCTATACGATGACTAAATATAGTTGAAAATAATTCCAAATCTAGTGAAAAGTTACAAATTATTAAAGCCAAAATCATACAATGTAATACTCCTTTATCTTTTATACTAGTTGGTCTCATCCTATAAAATTAATTGATATGCATTTAAAATTAATTATTAAATTATTGAACATTTATGATGTCTATTATACATTTCTATACATACCGTCCATGATTACTTTGGACACTGTATGTATCTATTACATGCAAGTTAATATCATGAGAAACTGAACAAACTTCAACACCTCGTTTCTTAGCATCCCTGATTGGCATGTTTAACCATGTTGCAACTGCTTGAATATAAAGAAGTAATGCAGTTTTTTTAACACTATTTGAATCAGACTTCACATACTTTAACATTTGGCTAAAGAATTTTGAACTTCTAAAAAAACAATATATATATATACATATATATATAATTAATATAATACAATTATTATAGACAATATTGATGACATAGAAAGCAGTTTTAAAGTAACTTCATAGTGAACATACCTTTCTGAACTACTAGGATGTTCATTTAAAATTTCTGTAACATTGTTGTACAGAGTCTCCAATTTACTTTCTGGTACAATATCATATATACTATATACATCATTTACATTAGTTGCACCTCTATTACAATCTGGCAAAGTTGTATTTGTAATATATTCATTATCTGACAACTGTGTTGATAATTCCATTCTATCAATTTCAACACCTGAAACAAAAATAAATTTATTGAACTCTTTCTAGATAAAGTAACAAAATTATACATATATTTCATAAATGACTATAAAAGTAAATTCTTACTAGATACAGTTTGTTCTAGTTGCTCTTTAACAGATTCTACATTCACTTTTAACCGCTCATATTGCTCTGTTCTTCTTTTCACCTTTTTGGAACCAAACTGTTTGTTTAATGTAGCAATCTTTTCATCCTCTGCACCTTTATTATCTTCTACAATTGGTTTTTCTAAAACTGGAGTCACTTGCCAACGTTCAACCTGAACTAATCTCACTTTTCCTGTTTTTTTGTTATGAAGTACAAGCATAGTACGCATCAAGTCCTTGCTTGTATCTGGTTTATAACCTCTATAAACAATCTGTCCATTTGATAAAGCCAACATTGTTTTTTTTCTCTTTTCATCATAAAATAAACCACATGACATTTTTTTGGCTTCCTCATCTTTGAGTTCTCCGTTTTGAAAATTAACTGTAAGATAATTATAAATATTTAGTTGAGACGAAAACGTGTAACATGTACAGTATAAATTGACAAATGTACAAGTTGCTTTTCCATCTTTTCTTTAGAACTAAATTTGGAGAAATAAGTCACAATTACAATTAAAAGATATACATAAATTTCCTTAAAAGAAAAATGAATAAAATAAACAAATTTTCTCCGAAAAAATATGAACACGAGTTGTCTTAAATATTGAAGTAATTTTTAATAAACACAAATATAATACCAATGATTGGCTGAATCTTGGATGGTTCTATAATTACATCTTCAATAATCGCTTTAAGTAGGCGTTTCATTTTTCATTAAAATTATTGTTTAACTTCTTTTTTATAATTAAAACATCACATCTATTTATATCTAGATTTTTGAAACACTCGTGTATAAACATTGGAGCGGCTCCGGAAATTGACTTGTTTTCATTTATTCTTGTCGGAAGTACAAATAGTTTGGTTGCATTTCTAAGCTATCTATAGAAGTGCAAACTTATTTAAGAACACACCATAATTTATTTTTCATTGCCATTTACTTCATATTTTGATTAATAATATTCAATAATATTAGTACAAACAATTTAGTTGTTCAAATTTTATATTTCATAAACATTAAACAATTAAAACTTTACTCTATGATGGTTCAGCATCACTTATTACGGTCCTGATCTGTATTATCTATATGAACTTTCGAGAAGCAAGGCATACACGAATGTTGTGTCAAATCTTTCAATAATTTGTGTTTGATAATTACAAAAAATCGACCTAATGGGTAACGAAGAAACTCCAACCGCAGTAAATAATAATGAAGTTAGAGACGCAATTAAATATATATCGTGAAATAAACATAAATACATCGATGCCCTAATGTAAAATAAAAATTTTAATCTTTTACAGATGCCAATTCCAAAAATAAAGCACGATTGGTATCAAACGGAAAGTCATGTTGTAGTTCCAGTTCTTGCGAAAGGTGCAAAAAATGTTAAAGTTATTTACGAGCAAAGATCCGTAAGTACTCAATATTATCATGCAAGATGTACCTATATCTCATCAATCAATGTGTTTCGTTTTCTGTCGGTCATATTTACGTGAAAATAAGTTTATCTTTTGATTGATACTAATTATATTTCAAAATGTTTTTATTTGATTTTAGTTAAGTGTAACTGCTCTGTTACCATCGGGCAATGAATATAGTTTGGAGTTAGATTTAGCTCATCCAATAGTAACAGATCAATGTTCACACAAAGTTGATCCATCTAAAATAGAAATCAAGTTGAAGAAACAAGATGGAATTATGTGGACTACTTTGGAAGGAAATCCTATTGCACAAAAAACAGTACAACCTATACCTCAAGGTAAACTTGATCTTAATATTATTTCCAAACAATACCTGCTTGAAATTGTTATATGAAGATGAAATTGTAATTTTTTAAGAAATTTTACAAGCTGGAAATCAACCAGAAAAGAATCTTGTAACTGGAAGAAAACAACGAGACTGGAATAAAGTAGAAAAAGAAATTGAGAAACAAGAAGCAGAAGAGAAATTAGTAGGGGAAGCTGCTCTCTGTGCTTTATTTCAACAGATATATGGTAGTGGATCTGATGAAGTAAAACGTGCAATGAATAAATCCATTGTAAGTATTTCAACTTATAAGACACAATAAATATATTTCACTGATTTTAATTCAGTAATATTTTTAAACATAGCAAGAGTCTGGTGGTACAGTGTTAAGCACAAATTGGGCAGAAGTGAGCAAAGGTAAAGTTGAAGTAAAACTACCAGATGGTATGGAATGGAAACCTTGGAATACATAAAACAATACAGATAATTAAAATTTTAATTTCTTATTATTTAACACAATTTCTTTTATTTTTAATAAAATCATTTATTAAAAATAAAATTAGTTAAACGATTGTCTGTATTAATGTTTGCCCCAGTTTATTATATATATATAGTTTTCTGAAAAATCCCTGTTTCTTATATAAAATAGAATTATATGCATTAAATGTAACTAAATTATAAATTAAAAAGGTCTATATATAATTGCCATTGTTATATATACGTATTAATGTATTCTTCATTTCATTGTATAATTAAATATATTGTATTATATATTTATTTATGAAATAATTAAAAATAAATAAGTTCCTTAAAAAAAATATCAAGTAGGATAATAACATTAATTCACTAGTTATTTATTACTATATATTACAAAATAACCTTTAATTAATTAATAACTTTATCATATAAATACTAATCACACATAATCCTAACTTAATATAAACCTGTTTCCACGTTTGATAAGTTGTTTCATTAACTGCATCATTAATTACATTAGTAGGTACTTCCTTAATCACTATACGTTCATTATTATTCTCTACCATTTTAACAATATTAGAGAAATATCTATTTATATTCATTTGCAGAGAATTGATATTATCTTGAAAAATGTTTTCATTTCTTTGTTGCGTTTCAAACACAACATTTTGAATATTTTTTATTCTCCTATTACTGTAAATCATTGAACTTATTAACGACACAATTGCTGTTATAGCAGATGCAATAAGAGATATATACTTTTGTCTCTGATTGTGTAGTATTTGATTATCATGGTATTCTTTGATGGAAGTTGCTAATAATGTAAAATAACAATTTTCTTCTTTCTCTAGTAAATTAAGCTGTGTTACAATTTTTGTTTGGTTCTGCAGATTTTTATTTTCCACTATTGTTAATTGCACATATTTTGGATCATCTCTTTTAGTTTGAATTAATTCTGAATATATTTCCTTTAATTTATCATTGATGAGAATTAATTCACGGTTCATGGTTCTTCTTTTATCTTGACATTCAAATAATTTGTTTTGTGCATTAACCACTTGCTGTTTAGTTAATTCAACTATATCAAAACCTGTTAATTGTTGGTACCATTGCCACCATTTTACAACTTTTTTTGGCAATGGACTTGGTTGTATTTGGGGTATACTTGAATTTTGAAATAATGTTATATCATCATTAACTCGCTGAAAAAGAAATGTTCAATGATCTATATTTAAAAACACAAATATTATAATTTTATTTAATTATTAATAAATAACACGAATATATTACCTTTACAAAAATATTATATTTTGTAGCAACAGTATTCTGAATATCATTCAACTTTTCTTGTGCCTTTTCGCTGACATTATTAATTTTTGTAGTTGTATCATTCAACAATTGATGTTTATTTATTTTACTGCTTAATACTGTGATCAACGACCGAAATTTGTTTCCCATTATACACATTTATATATTTGAATTGTCAACAAATTTACAACATCGAAATATATGTTAATTTCGTATTATTAGATACTGTTATGGTCGTTAATTTTTATTTCTAATATCATAAAATACAAATTAGCTTCTGGAAGAAGTTATTAACATAAAAATTATCTTAAAAGAGATAAATACCAAATTTTGTAAATATGAAACTTTTATTTAACTACGAATAAAAAAAAGACACTTAAAATATATAAAGAAATTAAATTTATTTCAAATATTATAGATTAATCACTTTATAACTTTATTTGCAATTTTTTATATAACTTTGAAAAATATAAAAAATGTTTCAATTACATGTATTTTGTTTGAACCTTTTAAAGCACATTTCCAAAGGTTAGATCAACATCACAATCAAATTGGTTTGGGCAGTTGGGTATTATAATCATTTGCTGTAAAAAGTTACAAAAATTTTATATTCTTTGTTATATATCAATTTTAAATTAAAAGAAACTGAAAAGTAAAAAAAATATAACAAATTTATAAACATATTTGATGCATTTAATAGATAACCTTACATCTTTTATGTCATTACTATTATATGTTTAAGAAATTTTAATATTTATCTATCCTTTACAGAAAAATTTATAATGAAAAGAAGTGCACGACAAATTTCTCGTCCAGAAGTGATAATTTCTTGTAGTGATTCTGAAAATGAACCTGTATATATCTCAAGCGATGATAATTATGTTCCTGAGAAAGCAGTTTCTAAAATTGTTCGGAAAAAGAGAAAAATATCGATTACAAATGATAATAACCAAAAGTTACTTAAAAAGGACAATCAATATAAAATAGCAATGCAATCCGAAAATGAAAAAGTACAAATAGAATTTCCAAATGCTGCAGTAGAATCAACAGGTTTAAAGAAAAAGATACAGAATAAAGATATGAAAATAAAATACGAAAAGATACAAGATTTAGATAAAAAAAATATTAAACAAATATTGGAAGATATACCTTTTAATTCTGTGGAATGTAAAGAATGGGATGTTGTAGATTATATTAGTGAGACAAATAATGTTGAAAGGCATATAACAGAAAATGTTGTGAAGCTTTTTAGTAATGACAATACAATTCCTTTTATTGCAAGATATAGAAGAGATATGACTGGTGGCATGGAACCAGATAAGTTACGAGCATTGAAAGAAAGTCTTAATCATGCTAATTTGATTAAACAACGTGCTGAAATTATATTAAAAGCTATTGATAGATTAGGACATTGGTCTCCTAACATATATTCTGTTATTGTATCTGTCAAATGCTTAGATGATTTAGAACATATATATTCTCTTTTTAAACCAGCATCTAAGCGAACTTTAGCAGAAAGAGCAAAAGAATTAGGTTTGGGAACTATAAGTGACCTTGTGTTACAGGGTCATACATTGCCTGCGTTATCTTCAATTATTGATCGTAAAAAAGATGGATTAAAATCTGAACAACAAATTATAGATGGAATTATACATATTATTGCAGATACTATAAATAAAAATAAAATAGTATTTGATAAAGTTAAAGAACTACAAAGTGAATCTGTCATAAAAATAGAAACTACAAAGTATAAAACCAATAGTAAACGTACAGATAATAAAGAAAAAGATATACACAGAAAGTATGAAACATATTATGACTTTAATACAAACACTAAATACATCAAACCTCATCAGATATTAGCCATTAATCGAGGTGAAATACAAAAAATTCTTACTATAAAAATAACTTTACCTGATTCTTTTGAAAGAGATTTTAAAAAACATTGTTACAAACAGTATAAAGTAGCCATGAATGTATCTAAAATACATTCTAAATTATTAAATGAGAGCATTGACTATGCTTATACAAAGTTTATTAAACCTCTAGTAGTACGTCGAGTAAGAAGTGAAATGAAGCAAAAGGCAGAGATAGCATCTATTGAAGTTTTTGTTACTAATGTTAAACAGTTACTTCTTACACCACCCGTAAGAGGAAAAATTATACTTGGTATAGATCCAGGATTCTTGCATGGTTGCAAACTAGCAGTAATTTCTGAACAAGGAGATATACTTGAAACAGGTGTAATTTATCCACACAAAAATGTAGAAGGATCTTATGATAAATCTGTCAATGTTTTGATAAATTTAGTAACTAAACATAAAGCTACAATTTTAGCATTGGGCAATGCCACAGCTTGCAGAGAAACTGAAGCATTTATAAATAAATTAATTAAATCTAATGCATTTGGGTTGATAGATGTTTCATACACAATAGTTGATGAATCAGGAGCATCAATTTACAGCTGTAGTTCAGAAGCAAAATCTGAGTTTCCGAATCTTGACACGAATTTAATTTCTGCTGTTTCTATAGCAAGACGTTTACAAGATCCTCTTGCTGAATTAGTAAAAATAGAACCTAAACATTTGGGTGTAGGTATGTATCAGCATGATCTACCAGTGAAGCAGTTGTTAACAGCACTAAACGAAGTGAGTATAAAACCTAGTACAATCACAATAGTTAAAATAATTGTCTGATACAATGAATAAAAGGAAAAAATTCATTGCAGGTTGTTTCAGAGGTTGTGAGCTTTGTAGGAGTGGATGTGAATACTGCATCTCGATGCCTCTTGAAAAGAGTTGCAGGTTTAAATACATCTAAAGCAAATAATATTATAGAATGGAGATCTAAATTTGGTCCATTTAAAAATAGGCACCAATTAATGGATGTGAAAGGAATTGGAAGCAAAATATTTGAACAATGTGCTGGATTTATTAGGATATTACCAGAAACTTCAATTACTGATAATTCAGAGAAATGCAAAAGCATTAACAAATCTAAACAAACATGTAATTTATTAGATCAAACTTGGATTCATCCTGAATCGTATAAAATAGCTGAACGTTTTCTGAAGTATTGTAATTGTAACATAGAAAACCTGGGAATTACGGAGTTCATAGAGAAAGTAAAGTTGTGTGCCGAGGAAGGAATATCTACCTTAGCTAAGAAATTTGACACGAATGAGGCGACTATGGAAGTGATAATTAAGGGTTTATCTATGAAGAAAAATGAGGATGTACGATTAAAGTACAATTCTCCTCTATTTCGAAGAAGTATGTTTAATATTAATGATATAAATGTGGGGATGTCATTAACGGGTGCAATACGAAACAGTACACACTTCGGAGCATTCGTGGATGTAGGAGCGGGTAAAGATGGACTTATACCAACGAGATGGCTAAAAAATGGTACAGTTTCGATAGGCCAACGTGTGGAGGTGAAAGTACTTTCAGTAGATCCCAAGCGTGGTAGGATTACCTTAGAATTAGTTAACGCTTTATAATATGTTTTCATACATAATGTATAAGTTTTTATATGCTTTGTAATTATGTTATACTACATTCGTATTTATTATTTAAAAGAATTCGTAAATAAATTTTATTTTTTATACAAGAGTCTTCATTTTTTCAAATAATAAAACGTAATTCCCGTTAGTCGCCTGTAAAATCAAATACAGAGAATTCGTTATTCAATCTATATTTGTATTTAATTTTTTCATGTAAAAGTTAAGATACGAATAAATATATATGCTAAATATATTACATATTCGATTAGTAATTTGCATATTTAACTCTCGACCCATTCCAAGTTAACAATCTCCGAATTACTACTTCTGCAGTTTTGAAAATCGTAGAAGAAAAGGAAAATAATATTTAAAATGAAATATGAGCAATTCCGAAATCAAAGCAAAATTTCAAATCACAAAGAATTATTTAATTAATTAATTAATAAAAATTTATCTGTTCGGTTAAATTATCGATGTGTTCCTTACGATGGCAAAAGGACAAATAACTTCCACAGAAATTTATGTAACTGCGATCATAAAAAGGATGGTCTCTATTATTATAGTTAAGAATTTACTAATTTTGATCACAATTATACTTTGGATAATTTATTTTAATAATGCGCGCAATAATTTATATATTTTTAAAATAAAAGTGCCATTAATATCTTTATAACATTAACTATTTTCGTATAACTGTTTGAAACAATTTTACTACATATATGGTGAGAGAAGAGTGAAGACAGTCCAGATCTTAATTAACAAATAGAAAAAATTGAACTTTTACTAGGTATCAGATGACGCATCTTTATCGATACACGATTAATGGCCGTCAGTTGGAACAAATCTATCTAATGCTCACTCTATTTCTAATATCACTAACAATATTAGACAAATATCTATTTATATTCATTTGCAAAGAATTGATATTATCTTGAAAAATGTTTTCATTTCTTTGTTGCGTTTCAAACACAACATTTTTAATTTCTTTTATTCTGCTATTATTGTAAATCATTGAACATATTAACAACACAATTGCTGTTATAGCAGATGCAATAAGAGATATATACTTTTGTCTCTGATTGTATAGTATTTGATTATCATGGTATTCTTTGATGGAAGTTGCTAATAATGTAAAATAACAATTTTCTTCTTTCTCTAGTAAATTAAGCTGTGTTACAATTTTTGTTTGGTTCTGCAGATTTTTATTTTCCACTATTGTTAATTGCACATATTTTGGATCATCTCTTTTAGTTTGAATTAATTCTGAATATATTTCCTTTAATTTATCATTGATGAGAATTAATTCACGGTTCATGGTTCTTCTTTTATCTTGACATTCAAATAATTTGTTTTGTGCATTAACCACTTGCTGTTTAGTTAATTCAACTATATCAAAACCTGTTAATTGTTGGTACCATTGCCACCATTTTACAACTTTTTTTGGCAATGGACTTGGTTGTATTTGGGGTATACTTGAATTTTGAAATAATGTTATATCATCATTAACTCGCTGAAAAAGAAATGTTCAATGATCTATATTTAAAAACACAAATATTATAATTTTATTTAATTATTAATAAATAACACGAATATATTACCTTTACAAAAATATTATATTTTGTAGCAACAGTATTCTGAATATCATTCAACTTTTCTTGTGCCTTTTCGCTGACATTATTAATTTTTGTAGTTGTATCATTCAACAATTGATGTTTATTTATTTTACTGCTTAATACTGTGATCAACGACCGAAATTTGTTTCCCATTATACACATTTATATATTTGAATTGTCAACAAATTTACAACATCGAAATATATGTTAATTTCGTATTATTAGATACTGTTATGGTCGTTAATTTTTATTTCTAATATCATAAAATACAAATTAGCTTCTGGAAGAAGTTATTAACATAAAAATTATCTTAAAAGAGATAAATACCAAATTTTGTAAATATGAAACTTTTATTTAACTACGAATAAAAAAAAGACACTTAAAATATATAAAGAAATTAAATTTATTTCAAATATTATAGATTAATCACTTTATAACTTTATTTGCAATTTTTTATATAACTTTGAAAAATATAAAAATGTTTCAATTACAAGTATTTTGTTTGAACCTTTTAAAGCACATTTCCACTCACTCTATTTCGCTTTCTCTCAGAGTAATCTTACTCGAGTAATACTCGTAAACATTCTATACAAAACTCTGATAATAACTTCTTTTACATACCATCGTAAATGGCGCTGATTGCAGTAGAAGAATCGCAAACACATGATGCGTTGAAACAAAATCATAAACCGACATAAAAAGTATAACATTTTCCTCCCTTCTCTTTATTCACTTAACAGTCCGACGAACATGAAGTCACGGATGGAGGCGAGTGATTTTATTCTCAGTAAAAAGAAAATAAAACTACGATGGTTATATGCACATAACTAATTGTTAAGGCTAATTGTTAACAACATAATTCTTTGGTTCTTTTCTTGTAACTTTCAATTTACTGTTTATCCTTTCCTTCATTGCTCTGAAACTATGAATATAAGACAGTCAATAAAAATTTCTACTTTCTATAGCAGAGCTATAATGTAAACAATATAAACTAACTCTTTCTTTTTCCTCATAATTTCTAATTCTTCTTGAGTTTCTACTTTGTCGTCACTTTCCCACTCGCTACTATGGTCTTCCTTCCTTCTTTTATTTGCAAGTTCAGGTGGTTCAACAGCTGGTTGTGAGCTTAACTTTGGATCAGTTAAATGATCATCAGCTGATTTGCCCTTATCAGTAAACTTTTTATTTAATATCACAGATTCTACTTCATCTTCCTCTGCTTCTTCACCAAATGATAAAAGATTGAAATCTCTGTTACAAAATTTTTCATTGTAAAAAATAATACTATCAGGACTAAATTCTGCAAATACATATGATTTTAATTTTACTGATGTTGTTTTAGTTTTTGAATTTTCCTTTACTTCTTCACTTTGCTGTACTATTGTTCTTGGCATAATATCAGAAAATGGATTGTTCAATATTATAGTTTATATCAATCTTGAAGGATAAAGTGGTCTATCATTCTACAAAACAGAGGAAATATATTTATATCAATTTTTGATATATTTTCTTGTAAACATTAAATTTACCTCATCTACAAGTGCTTTTTCAAGTTTAAACATGTTATATATAGCATCTCCAGTAAAACTAAGAATTAAGAGTAAAGAAGAATTGGGAACCATTGTCATCTTTTCCAGCGTTAGCCACATATATCTAATAATTATTTTCGAATAAAGAAGGAATTCATTTTATTTTTAAATACAGTCTCACTTCAAATGGTTCTCCATATATGTTACCACCTTCTCCTGTATCTGTGGGATCACCAAATTGTATTATGAATCCTTTGATAATTGTATGAAATATAGTGTCACCATTACCTTCCATAATTGTACGCAATTTCTACACACTTTTGAAAACGAAAAAAGTAAACTGTGCAGCACGATTTCACGGCATCAGATACTTTCGGCACTATTTTTCGAAATCGCACCGACGAAACTGAAAAAAAAATCCAATCCCTTTATAGAAAAATTCACTCGTCCCCGATGTGTAGAACAAACCTAATCAAAAAAGCTAATCCAAAAACTAGAAGCCAAAAAAGTAAATTGCGCAGCACGATCTGAGAGCCACTGACACTTCCGGCACTATTTCTCGAAAACGCACGCTCGAAACCGAAAAAAAATATCCAATCCCGATAAGGAAAAAATCACTCTACTCGAATCAGTGGAAAAATCAGATTCAAAAAGCCTAATTCAAAAACTAGAAGCCAAAAAAGTAAATTGCGCAGCACGATCTGAGAGCCACTGACACTTCCGGCACTATTTCTCGAAAACGCACGCTCGAAACCGAAAAAAAATATCCAATCCCGTTAAGGAAAAAATCACTCTACGCGAATCAGTGGAAAAATCCGATTCAAAAAGCCTAATTCAAAAACTAGAAGCCAAAAAAGTAAATTGCGCAGCACGATCTGAGAGCCACTGACACTTCCGGCACTATTTCTCGAAAACGCACGCTCGAAACCGAAAAAAAATATCCAATCCCGTTAAGGAAAAAATCACTCTACTCGAATCAGTGGAAAAATCAGATTCAAAAAGCCTAATTCAAAAACTAGAAGCCAAAAAAGTAAATTGCGCAGCACGATCTGAGAGCCACTGACACTTCCGGCACTATTTCTCGAAAACGCACGCTCGAAACCGAAAAAAAATATCCAATCCCGTTAAGGAAAAAATCACTCTACTCGAATCAGTGGAAAAATCAGATTCAAAAAGCCTAATTCAAAAACTAGAAGCCAAAAAAGTAAATTGCGCAGCACGATCTGAGAGCCACTGACACTTCCGGCACTATTTCTCGAAAACGCACGCTCGAAACCGAAAAAAAATATCCAATCCCGTTAAGGAAAAAATCACTCTACTCGAATCAGTGGAAAAATCAGATTCAAAAAGCCTAATTCAAAAACTAGAAGCCAAAAAAGTAAATTGCGCAGCACGATCTGAGAGCCACTGACACTTCCGGCACTATTTCTCGAAAACGCACGCTCGAAACCGAAAAAAAGTATCCAATCCCGTTAAGAAAGAATTCACTCTACGCTGATAAATGAAAAAAACCGCAGACCAAAGCCTAATTTTGAAGATAGAAACCAAGAAAGTAATCTGCGTAGCACTATCTGACGGCCACTGACATATTCGGCACTATTTTTCGAAAACGCGTGCTCGAATCGAAAAAAAAGTATCCAATCCCATTAAGGAAGAATGCACTCTACGCTTTTAGACCGGAAAAATCTAACCGAAAAGCCTAATTTCAGAAATATAGGCGAAAAAAGTATACTGTGTAGAACGATTTCACAGGCACTTGTTTTTCCGTTACTTTGTTTCATATATGCACCTTCAATCGTAATATAATTGCCCTATTGGTTGGAGAATAGCCTATTCTAGGCAGTAGTAACGAAATAT